ATTTTTTTTTGCCTGAGCTCCAAGTAAATTTCCAGAACTTCATGTTTGTTGTCCAGGACTTAGTGCCTTGTAGCTGTGGCTTTTTGTTGACGTTTTACATCATAGTAAGTTTTCAGATTTGTTTTAAAAATGAATTCAAATAGGGACCTGTAAAACACAAATGCTACTGTTCACCTTTATCACAGTAGATGAGGTAATGTTTGAGTTTGAGCTTCAGTGATTAGTTATGAGGCTTTAGAAAAGGAAATTAGTCTAGTTAGTAGATGTACCAACAAATGTATGTAAAACTTGCCTCTCAGAGCTTCTGAACCAATGACTTGAGGTGGAAATTAAATTTTTCAGTGTTTTGAAATCTGCAAAAATCACAGAAATTTAGGAGTTATAGCTGAAAAAATTAAACTCAATAGCTTGCAACTTATTGCCACTCTCTTTAGAGTAAATTTGAATGAATGATCAATTTGTTCTGTGTTTTCTGTCCAGATGAAGCTGTTGATGTTGCTCTTATCTATTTTAAAAACTCAGTCGTTGTCTTGTGTTCCTTTTGAAGTAGAGACTGGGGATCCGTTGAATTGAGAAGTCACAGCTTCTGATATTAAACTGATCATATAAATTAATAAATTAATTTAAGTTCTTCCATGAAGTGGGAAGTGGTGGCCTAATTTGTTAATTAGGGTTTTTGATTTCAAAATGTGACCTTTGAAAAGCTATATGCCAACTCATTACTAAACGGGTTGGTTTTTTATTGGTCCAATGACCAATGTCCAATGAGGACAGCTTTTCTTTCCTTCTGTTACTGCCTTATCTTTGTGTTATCTTTAACAGGTTAATTACTTAACACAATTTTACTTTGCTCTATTTCAGGAAAGAAAAAGGTCAACTTAATATTGTTTTTTTTTTTTGTTTTTTTTTAGAATAAAGAAGCTTGTTTAAAAAAACAAACAAAGACAAACTTGATGATTTGGGCTTTCCATAAAGTCAGTGTGTTGAAACAAAATAGACCATTGTCTGAAATGTCTCTATGCTGTAGCGTTATGATTTTTCCCCTGATTGGAAGAAGGTGACCTAGACCTAACCAGGATAACCGCCCCAGGCCAAAACAACACAGAGTATGTGGACAGTGGTGTGGAAATGTAAGTTACATATAGCTACTGTCATAGATGGTTGTGCTTCTATGTTAGTTCTTACTGTATTTCAGATGACAAACATCTAGTGGCCAACTCTGGACACCAAGCAAAAACAAATAACAGGTTGTTTCTTTATTGGTCCAAGAAAAGTTAAGATCCTTATCTTTCTGATTTCTTAAATGGGTTAATGAACCCTTATGACCTTATTTTATTAAAGGAATCTTTTGGAGCCAATGGAAGTGAAAATAAAATGAGTTTTATGATGCAGCCATAAAGCAGCTACAGTATATAAACTTGAAGGCAACTGGAGTCAGACTAAGTGAAGCACTGTGTGACCACAACGGTGAGTACTTAAATTTTGGTATTTTTGCATTGCAAATTTTGTGAGTTTTCTAATAACGGTAAAAACTAAACTCAATAGGTTAAACTGACTTTAATTTTACTCTAATATTTTCCTAAGCCTGCCATTAACTTCTACTCCTAATTTTGCATGTAAATACAGTCCAGAGTGACTGCAGAGTCATCGCAGGCAGCACAGAGGGCTATATTGTATAAACGTCATTACTAATGACAGCCAGTAACTTGACATTTGAGATGTGATGCAGAATTCTTTTTACATTTTTGTAGGTTGATTTAAAGCTTTATTTTAAACAATTCTTTTTATATTTTTGACAATTTGCCTTCATTAGTTTTATTAGGTTACAGTTGAGATGAGTTATGACATACAACAGTCACATTTGAACCAGGGATGTCGCAGTTATATGGTCTGTCTCTAAACCTCCAGACCACCAAGACACCCTGAATGATCAATTTGTTCCTTGTTTTCTGTCCAGATGAAGCTTTTAGTGTTGGTGCTGCTTTCCCTGCTGGCTCCGTCCTCTGTCGAACCTCAGGACACCGTCCAAGGTAAACACTTGGCATTATGAATGTCTCTTACTGATGTTTACAGGTGACCTCATTCATGTTTCTTTTGGGTGTAACTGGGATGGAAGGAACAAGTTTGTACTGGGAATGTTTGCAAAAAAATACCCCAAAAAAAAAACAACATCAAGATGAGAAAAAAAAACAATTGATATTAAACAGTTTTGTAAAGTAAACAGGTGAGTTATATAAACAGGTGAGTTATATTAACAGGTGTCATGAAGGAGGAAATTATCTCTAGAGACCAAAACAGTTTTTTAACCAGGCTGTAAACATGTTTATTTCTGCTGTAAAGTTGGACGTTTTAACATGGGAGTCTATGGGGACTGACTCACTGCTGGAGGCAGACTCTAGTGGTCGTTAGAGGAACTGCAGGTTTTGGCACTTCAGTGTTGGCTTCAAGTGTGGTTGCTTTTTGGCATATGCCATTTTAAGCTTTTGGGCACACATACCCTTTAAGTATGGCTTGTACAGACTTTTATAAACCAACATCACAAAATTTTTTTAATTTTAGCTTGATGATTTCTATCCATGGACAAAGTTTCAGCAGAGGCAAGGGTTTAAGATTTGTGATTTGAACACTTCTTTTGTTTGTGTGTTTCTCATTTTTCCTATAAAACATTCCAGAATATATACAACTTCATTTCCTGTAAATAAAAGTATAAATTATCTGTCTGTCCCTTTTCTCTTTTAAATACAGCCTCTTCCTTTTTACTCCCTGCTTTCTACAAAAGGATCCTCAAACAGAAACGCCGCAATGAAATCACCTTCAACGACGAAGATCTGATCAGCTGGAGCATCGGAGGGGTTACTTACAATACTGATGGGGTTAAAGTGATCCCATATCCTCCAGAGGTCTTGCGCAAGTCCACCGTTACCAACAATGAATGCCAATCAGTTGTGAAAAAATTTACACTGTCAAAGACATACCAGGTGGAGCAAAGATGGGATATTGGTTCTTCCACCACACAGAGAGTTGGAGGTAGCATCACTGCCCAAATCCCGTACATTGGCTCTGCAGGTGTTGAGTTTAGCGAATTGACAACAAAACAATTCACCAGGGGAACCACTGTGGTGGAGTCAATCACACACTCTTTTACTGTGGAGCAAAGCATCCCCCCAAACCACTCCTGCAGTGTCAGTATGCTGGGATATAAGTACAGGGCAGAAATCCCTTTCAGTGCAGGCGTCAGCCATCTCTACAGAAACGGAGGTAAATATGAACACATGTCAGGGACATACGACAAGGCCCAGATTGGAGAGGTCCGGGCGGTGGTGGACCGCTGTGAGCCTATAGCCAACGCCAAGCCTTGTGCCTGAAAGAAAAGTGGAAGAAACACTTTGACATAATGTATGTTTAATACCAGTAAATTAAATTCTGATTAAAAGTTGATCAGTTATCAACTTCTTGTGTCATAATTTTTTACCTTATAATTTCATTTTATTAAATTACTTTCTCTTTTTTTGGGGGGCAAATCTGAACTGCAGCGACCTGGGATCGAGTCCAACCCTTTGTGCCATATCATTCTCCCTCTCTGTCTCTCCCTCTCTGTGTCTCTCTCTCTCTGTTGCTCTCTCTCTCTCTCTCTCTCTCTCTCTCTCTCTCTCTCTCTCTCTCTCTCTCTCTCTCTCTCCCTCTCTGTCTCTCCATGATTTTCCTGTCCCTCTTATCGGAATTAAGGCAAAAAATATCAAACAAAATAGTGATGAACCTCTTGTTATTCAATGCTTTTAACTTCAAAGTCGTAGTTGGGTCTTGAACAAAAAGTCCCAGTCAGGTTCATCACTTTTTAGTGCCCCCTGGAAACACTTCTGTCGTGTGGATTTGCAGTGTGTTTGTGTATTTGTATGTGTTTTCTTAAGTTGCAGTGTGTTGATCTCTCTGAATGACAGTATGTAGCAGAGATTTAGCTCTTATTTTGCATGTAAGCACATTTTATATAGGCCTACTATTTATACCACCTCTTAATGCTTCTATTTTGTAAATTTTTGTAGATATCAAATTATAAATATTTTATTATCTATTATTCATCTTTGTAAATGTGACACAGCAGATTTCCCCAGTGTGCGACTAATAAAGGAATATCTTATCTTATGTAACAGTAAAATATTAAACGCAATTTTTTCATAATTTCATTTGCTGCTTTGGAAAACAAGTCTTTGCAAAATTGAAGAATAGTTAGATGCAAGGTGTTTTTATTGTCTTATATATTAAAGTACATAAAACATGGAAAATCATGAAAATTATGATGAATTTTACAGGTCTCCAACAATATGTCAGTATTATATTAGACATGGAAGTTATTCACAAGGCCGGGCATCAGGTAATGGTTCACAACGATCCACAACAGCTCGGACTTCTCCAATCTGGACACTTTTGTACGTCCCAGAGATGGATGTCCATGTGGTTTCTCCATTGCTGTAGGTGCGGCTGAGGCGTGCGGTGAAAGGGATGTCTGCGCTGTACTTATATGCCACCATGCTGACACCGCAGGAGTGGTTTGGTGGGACTTCATGTTGAACAGAAACAGTGTGGGTGGTTGACTCTATATAAGTGGTTCCCTTGGTGAACTGAAGGGTCGTCTCCACACTAAACTCAATACTTGCTGAGCTAATTTCAGGTATTCCGGCAGTGATGCTACTCTTGACTCCCAGTGTTAGTGAAAAGCTTGTGTCCCACCTTTGTTCCACTTGGTTTGTCTTTGAGAGGGTGGCTGTCTCTGTCACTGGCTGGCACGCACGGTTGGTAATGGCTGACTTTCGCATGCTCTCTGGAGGATATTCAATGATTTTAACCCCATCAGTCTTGTACTTGACATCAGAAATGTCCTCACTGGATATCTCTTTGTTAAAGGTCAGGACCTGGTAGTACTTGTACCAGTACTCAGACCCTTGCCAGGGAAGGAAGAAGGCCTCGTTCCTAACGTGCACTTTCCCAAGACCAAACTTGTTCTTGCCGACATATTTGTCTGTGTTGGCGCAGGTCTTGACTGAGTTCTGAGGCAGTGAACCATAGGAGCCATCCTTCCATTCCATGAACTCAAAGTTGTCTTTGTTCACCAGGATCTCAAATGGGGAGCCACGGTACTCTTTCCCTGCATAGGGGTAGTGGCAGTAAGGACCCATGTCAGGGTTATAGAAGCCAGCCTCGCACCCGTATTTGCAAACATAGTCAATGCGTCCAACGTATCCGTTGTAGATTGAAATTGATCCGTCGGGGGGAGAGGATCCAAAGGTCTGCCATTCTAGGTGGTTTTGATTAAACATGAAAGAGGTGAATGAGCTAGAAATGTTCCCAATCGCTGCAACAGATGGAAGAGCTGTGATTTCAGGAACCCGGTCCGCTAGACTTGGGTCCAGTACCGGGACTGTATAACAGGAAGAAACAGAAACAAAAATTATGACTTTAGTAATCAATCAATGTATTCCTTTGAAAACATTGAAGTTTATGTTTATGTGGGGGGTGGAGTCAAACCTTTAGTGGCGTACACTGATCATAATGCACTAACCTTTCTCAAAATTATGATTTTACTCTTATATTATGATCTTTTCTTGGAAATTACAAATTTTTTCTTGTAATGTCATGACATTTTCTTGAAAAATTATTATTTTTCTCAAAGATGATGACTTTACCCATATAATATTATGACTTTATTCTTAATTTTTTTTCTCCACTCCATTCTACAACTTAAATCACTTTAAATGTGTTTTGTTTTTTTATTATATTTAAAGTGAAATGCTTTGTTTTTTCTTTACTTTCTACATTTTGGGTAAAAGCAGCAACATCTCTCCTCATCCAGTGATGAAGTAAAAATGAGGACACAACATTTAAAGTTGATAACAACAGTTTTGTTTTACCTGGTTCAGTGTTCTCACAGACACAAGAGTCTGCTGAGGACAGAGCCGGCAGGGCCAACAGCAGCAACACTGGCAGCTTCATCTGCAGATGAAACACAGAACAAAACCACTGTTAGTCTCCACCAGTTCGTAGCATTGCTTTTTAATTAGGTGAATTATAGTTGCACGAATTAACACTCACCATCACAGTTATACTGTACATCACTTCAAGTGCCAAGGATTTTATAGCTGCCTTATTACTCACTCAGCAAAACAAATATGTACTCTCACCTTGGCTCAGACTTTGACCAACAAACAAACGTCAACATATAACATCACATGAAACCTTGCTTCTTTTGCCCCTGTTGAATAAAAAAAATGAGGAGTGAGAATATTTTCATGACAAAAATTCAGTACAGTAGTTTAGGGGAATTTATTCTTCTGGATGTAAATGTATAGAGGTCCCTGTGGAAAGACTTTCCGCTATCTGCCTGTTAACGTTTTCAAAATCCCCTTATACTGAAAGCTGAAACAACATCAGCCATCACATCACATCGTCCATCTGTGTAAACAGATCATTTGCCCCAAACGCTGAGAAATTGAAGGCCGGTTTTTGAAATTCTTCTAATCTCTTGTGAAAACAAACCTTTACTGATGTGGATGAATTATTTTGGTGCTTGAAATGGATTTATCAAAGTCTTAGGTTCCTAAAAATAGCACAATATATGAGTAAAATAATAGATAAATGTATAATCAATGCCTAAAATGAACCAAATGTTTGAGGCCTGCTCATTGGCTCCTAGCGGCTATGAGTCACATATGATCTTGCAAGAATATGAACCGGAGATTGGAGAGTCTACAAATTCTAACAACATTTACACCACATTTCTATGCTGTATCCTCACAAAGATATTAATAGAAACATTTTGAAGACTTTTGGATTCTCATGAAGCATCATGAAAGGTTCACTGAGCTGAAATGTCCAGTGAATCCTGCAGATGGCGCTGAATGATCCCTAACTGATCACAAGAAGTCTTCTACTCGTTATGTAGAGATGCAGCAATAATACTCAACTGAACACAACACGCTGCTTATTTAATCTTCCAGTCAAATAAATTACAGTTTCAAACCATTCAAACTGATTGGATTCCTTTCTCATCTAGGTCCTGTGATGTTTATGGTTCTGAATTTTAGTTTTATATATTTTTTATAAAGAGGATCAAACTGTAGGCCACTGCCACATCAGAGATCTCATGAGTAATATGTAAATTTTACCCATTTGAAGTTGACCAAAGTAAATGGTTTTCTCTTACATTAGCATGGATGAATTATAGTGAGAAACAAGCACAAGCCCAGAGGCCCAAAGGGTCATGGGGCCCCCGGGCTTCAGCTGCAAAATGTCTCTGAAAGAGACACTTACAACCACAAAGAGACACGGAGCAGCTACAAAGAGACTGAAAGAGAAGAGGTAGAATAACTACAGAGAAATGTAAAGTGACCACAAAACAAATCACAACAACAAAGAGACAGATTGTACCACAAAGAAGCAAAACAACCATAAAGAGACACAAAACAACAACAAAGAGACATATAGTGATCACAACTAGACAGTGAAAGGTATGCAACAAGTACAAAGAGACACAAAATGGCCACGAGAGACAGAAAGAACTACAAAAATACGTCTATTGATTACAAGAGACTCAAAGAGCAAAGTGACAACTAAAAGAGTCAAAACAGCCACAGAGAGATGACAAATGACAAAGAGACACAAATTTCCAACAAAGAGACAAAACAGCTACAGAAACTGACTCTGACTCTGACTTGACTTTTAACCCAGACAGTTTAATGATGCTGGAGTCACTACAAGTACATATTGTACAAATACACTGATGGGCGTAACTGTGAGTCCTGCAGCCTGCAGACGGATCCTCTTGGCTTTTCAGCTCTGCAGGTTGCTGCTTCATCACTTTGTAGATGTAGATACTCACTTACCTGTTTTCTGAGCTGCTGGGCTCTTCCAGGCTGAAACTTTGTGGAATTTATTATTATGTTGTTTGAATTTATATATTTAATTATTTAATTATCCTGCAGATGTTTATCCTTTCATCCTGTAACCATCATTGATGCAGTCATATTTTCTGCCTCAGGGGAAATGATGATCTTATTTTTATCATTTAAATCTTATTACTATACAATCCAATAAATACGCAAACTTATTTTCATCTTGCCAGAAGTAGTTTCAGCCATAATGCAGCTGTTGTATGTTCTTATTTTTCCCTCCATTGTGGACTGGCTGGTTTTAGTTCTTGTTCACTGGTTTCTGGATGTTTGACTGTTTCTTCTTCTCAAGCCTCTTGAAAAAAACAGATCTTGAACTCTCTGAGACAATCTGATGAAATAAAGTTACTAAAGCTGGAATCAGTTGTTTCGATGGTTTTACAGTTGAATAAAATGAACCTTGAAGCTCAAGACAACCAGAGACCGATGATCCATGGAGCTGCAGTCACACTAATGTTGGTTTTATTCAACCAATGAGAGAATCACTGAAAATACTCAAGTGTTTGGAAGAATGAGGAACAGACTGTACATTAAGGATTATATGGTTTAATTAAAAGGAAGCAAGTTAAGTGACAACAAATCAAAAGTCAGTGGTGATATTATGATACATATCAATTGATGATAAACATTTGTTAACCATCAGAAATCATCCCATATTTTATTATAAATACCTTTTTATAATCTCTGACTGTATTAGTCAATTCTGGAAAATGAAGACAACTGATTTATGGTAATATTGGATTTTCATGTGATTCAGTGTTCAGGTTTCTTAATCACCGGTCTCCATTCATCCTCTAAAAAATTAGCATTATGATACAAAACACTGTCACAGTACAATGATAGTGGCACGAATTTCATCACTGACTACTGTTCTTGCAGCCCTTGGAATGCCACCACAACGCATTCTTACACCTCTACCTTGCCCTCTCCTTGGGCCTGCTCCTCTCCCTGGCCCTGCTCCTCTCACTGCACCTGCTCCTCTCACTGCACCTGCTCCTCTCACTGCATCTCTCACTGTTCCTGCTCCTCTCACTGCTGCTGCACCTCTCACTGCATCTCTCACTGCTCCTGCACCTCTCACTGCATCTCTCACTGCTCCTGCACCTCTCACTGCATCTTTCACTGCTCCTGCACCTTCACTGCCTCCTGCACCTCTCACTGCATCTCTCACTGCTCCTGCACCTCTCACTGCATCTCTCACTGTCCTGCCCTCTCACTGCATCTCTCACTGCTCCTGCACCTCTCACTGCATCTCTCACTGGGCCTGGTCTTCTCCCTGGCCCCTTGCTCTTACTCTTCCTCATCCAAAATTTACAGTGTTTGTCTTTTTCTGTTTCTGTTTCCAAAAACATCACTCCTCAAAGTCCTCCTTTTACTGTATAAGTGTCAATGTAATAGAAAAAAAAATAACCCCTGCCACTGAGTCTAAGCCGGACTGGAATCAGCTGTGGTTGGCCCAATTTACCCAACATAAATCAGCTGTGTGTCAATTATTCAATTGTTTGTTTATTATCAGCTGAGATATATTGTTTTTGAACTGATATCATTGCAGAAGCAGAGGTTTTTATACTGTATCTAAGGTTTGGAATATTGTTTTTGCTATTGTGGGATGTTGTGTGTCAACATTCGTAAATAATACAAAAACAATCCATAATTTTGTTGGGAGGTATAGCTTGTCTGTTAAGAAAATGTAAGCATTGTGGAAATGTGTTCACTGACTGCATATTGTGTGAAAACGACATGAAATGTGTGAATGGTATGGCCACAAAAGACCGATGCTGTGCTAACTGTGTTTAGAGTTTTGAAAATGTGACAACTGGTTGGACAAACGCTTGTTAGCGACTGAAAAAAACTGTAAAATTAATAATAAAAAAAAAAAGATTAACAGCAGGTAAAGTGTCACAATCCAGTTTCAGCCTGGATTACAACATTTGGCGAAGCATCAGTTGTAGTAGTGTATTTTGTGGGTTGCTGTTGACTGTAGATGTAGATGCAGCCTCAGCTGCTGGGTCCTTCATGTATCAGGCTTAAAAATCAAGGGATTGGTCTCTGCTGCTTGAGAACTTCCTGGTATCCCTGAGACCTGGTGATGTGAAAGCATCAACAGTTATACGATAAACCAACCATGGCTTCTTCTGTGCTTCAGTGTTTAAAAAAGGTTTTCTCTACCTGATGGTGCAGAGGTTGTACTGTATAATCTCAAAGCAGTGTGATGTGACATCACATCTATTTACCTGGGCAAAGCTGTGTGTAAGATGACCCCCCCCCCTACAGAAATTATACTGTAACACAGGCCATTGCTGCACAAATGTGCTACAACCACTTTAAACATGCACCATTACCATGGCAGTGGTCAATGTTAAGGGCTACTACTGTTTCAGTCACTCACCCTATTAGTAGTCACCTCACTGCAAAGGCAGTTACAGTTCTGGTTCAGGGTTCTTGGTGCATCAGCCAATTGATGCCAATTACTGTGTTAAGTGTGGCCCGAAGCGGAGATATACATACATACATATATATATATATTCATTGTCACAAGTAATACATTTGAGGACAGAATAATGAAAGGAAACTATAGCAGTTGTCTCAGAGTGGAAACATCAGGGACAAACTGTTTCTGTACAGAAGATGAGCTTCTGATGTAGATTCCTAACAAGCATTTCAAGATGATATTAAAATGTGAGTTTTATATTGAGCCAGATGCCAAAATATTGCTGGTCTAGTGCGACATCTAGTAGCTGTGAATATTATATTTATAATATTTTAAACTGTTAATTCAGATCATATTAAACAGCAGAAAAGTTCTGACTCAGTTCAGTTAAACTCACTGTAATGTAGCGGTAATTCATAACTGCTGGTGCTCCCTGTGGGTTCTGGATCAGCTTCCACTGTAAAGGACAGAAATATACAGATTTATTCAGTCATTACCACTGAAGATAATGCAAATCTATTTAATTGAGAATCTATTCATTGGTGTTTTAATTAGTTGATCAAATGCTACAGTTAAAACACTGCCATAATCACATGAACCCTAGTGTGAACCCTAGAACAAAACTGATCTTAATTAAAGTCACTACAGTTTCTACATACTTTCATGGCACTTGATTTCTCACACTGATAGTCGACAGGAATACAACACAGACAGATCAATAAAAGTTCAGGTATATTGTAATAATGGCGTCCTGAGCTAAGAATGATGTCACACTCTCTCTGTGTGTGTTGTAATCTGAGTTCTGTTCTTGGCCTTGGAGCTCGGTCTGCTCCACGTGTGCATGAGTCTCTCCCTGTGAAACCAGTGTCCCACCACATGTTTATAAAGAGACAAAGACAGTGACGGCCCACACAACACTGTCAAAGTGAGATGGCAGAAGAGAGAGAATGCACACTGGTCCCAGTGGACAAGTACAGGGGTGAATTTGTTTCCCAGTCCAACTGTGGACCAGAGTCAATACTGGTCTGTTGTTTTATTAGTCACAGCTACAGTAGCATGATAATGCTAGCTATATTACTGTTATTTATATTATGAATTTGCAAATGTTGCTATTGCTAGTTAGCTTAATGCCAGCTTTGCTGTGGAGCATATCACAGCAATGCGACAAGGCGACAAGGACTTTATTTTGGTCTGATATGCCTGCTGGACATAGAGCGAATTTAGGCGGCAGTGTGTTAGGTCGCAGACGTTCAAGACTTCTCGTGGTCAGTCTGCATGCTCGAAGAGCTTCCACTGTAAAGGACAGAAATATACAGATTTATTTATTCATTACCATTGATGAAAAATGGGAAGAAATGTATTTAATTCAAAATTGTAAATGATGCTGATCATTAGAATATTAGTAACCTTAATTTATTATTTCATGCAAAAAATTATTTAACCTGAACACAGCTTAAACACATTTTTAGTTTAGATTTAATCCTGAAGAAAAGATTCAAATTAGATTCATGAGAGAACAAATCATGGTTTCTTTAATTTGGACTTGGAGCAATAACCACCTGTCTTCCATCTTTAAATGAAATTAAATGTAAGTTTATGAAACATTATGCAATACATATTTCAGTGAATGAATTGGTGCTTTAGAAGTTGATGAAATGCTTCAGTTAAAACACTGTAAATTCAGATCTTATGAAACAGCAGAAAGTTCTGATTCAGTTTAGTTAAACTCACCGTCAGGTCGCGGACTTTCAACGCTGCTCCTGAGCAGTCTCCATGTTCGAAGAGCTTCCACTGTAAAGGACAGAAATATACAGATGCAATACATATTTCAGTAAATGAATTGGAGCTTTAATAAGTTGGTGAAATGCTTCAGTTTAAACACTGTAAATTCAGATCTTATTAAACAGCAGAGAGTTCTGACTCAGTTCAGTTAAACTCACCGTCATAAGGCACTGATCCATAACTGCTGCTGATGAGCCCTTTGGGGCCATTTTGATCAGCTTCCACTGTAAAGGACAGAAATATATAGATTCATTCAGTCATTACCACTGACGATAATCGACACAAATGTATTTTATTCAGAATCTATTCATTGGTGTTTATTCATTGGTAATTAGTCAATCAAATCCTACATTTCAAACACTGAAACACTGAAATAAATTGGTACTTTAATTACTCGATCAAATACTTCATTTAAAACAGTGTAAATTCAGATCTTATTAAACAGCAGAAAGCTCTGACTCAGTTCAGTTAAACTCACTGTTAGGCAGCAGAGGTTCAGAGCTGCTCCTGGGCAGTGTGCGTGGTAGATGAGCTCCCCCTGTAAAGAACAGAAATATATATATTTATTCCTTAATTCATTCAGTCATTACCATTGGAGATGATTGGACATATGTGTATTTAAATGAGTCCCTCCCTGTGAAACCAGTGTCACTCCACATGTTTATAAAGAGACAAAGACAGTGACGGCCCACACAACACTGTCAAAGTGAGATGGCAGAAGAGAGTATGAAGCGTTGAGGTCAAAGCATAAAGTGTTTAAAGCTTTTACCGTCCTCTCTTTGTGCCTCTGTTTTTCTTCTTATTTTTTAAGTTGTATTTTTGGATGTTTTTGCCTTTATTCAGATCGTACAACCTCTCTGTTTTTCAGTGGTGACGGCTACAGTAGCATTAGCTAAATTACTGTGACCTATATGATGAATTTGTTCAGCAAATGTTGCTATTGCTAGTTAGCTTACTGCCAGCTTTGCTGTGCAGCATATCACAACAATGCTATCGTGGGCTAATGGTTGTAGCTGAACTGTTTTTATTGGCTCTTGTGTTCACAGAGGAACTTTATTCAGTTGTGCTTCCTGTTGTGTGTTTAGTGGAAACTTTCACTGGGCTCTGCGACACTTTGCTGAGAACAAGAAGGGAGGGGGAGGGGGAGGTGTGGCCGACAAGGACTTTGTTTTGGTCTGAGATGCTGCTGGACTAGAGGGACATATAGTGGCTGTGAATATCATGTATTATTAATACTTTAAACACTGTAAATTCAGATCTTATTAAACAGCAGAATAGTGCTGACTCAGTTCGGTTAAACTCACCGTCAGGTCGCAGACTTTCAATGATGCTCCTGGTCAGTCTGCGTTCTGGATCAGCTTCCACTGTAAAGGACAGAAATATACAGATTTATTTATTCATTACCATTAATGAAAAATGGGTAGAAATATATTTAATTGCAAAATTGTAAATGATGCTGATCATTAGAATATTAGTAACCTTTATTTATTATTTCATGCAAAAAAATGATTTAACCTGAACACAGTTTAAACACATTTTTAGTTTAGATTTAATCCTGAAGAAAAGATTCAAATTAGATTCATGAGAGACAAAATCACAGTTTCTTTAATTTGGACTTGGAGCAATAATCACCTGCCTTCCATCTTTAAATGAAATTAAATGTAAATTTATGAAACATTATGCAATACATATTTCAGTAAATGAATTGGTGCTTTAATAAGTTGATGAAATGCTTCAGTTAAAACACTGTAAATTCAGATCTTATGAAACAGCTGAACATTCTGACTCAGTTTAGTTAAACTCACCGTCATAAGGCACTGATCCATAACTGCTGCTGATGAGCTCTGTGGGTTTTTGATCAGCTTCCACTGTAAAGGACAGAAATATACAGATTTATTCAGTCATTACCGCTGAAGATAATGGACACAAATGTATTTAATTCAGAATCTATTCATTGGTGTTTTAATTAGTCGATCAAATGCTTCAGTTAAAACACTGTAAATTCAGATCTTATCAAACAGCAGAAAGTTCTGACTCAGTTCAGTTAACTCATTGTCAGGTCGCAGATATTTAGAACTTCTACGTTTCAACCCTGTAAAGAACAGAAATATATATGTGTACTCATTAATTCATTCAGTCATTACCCTTGGAGATGATTGGACATATGTGTATTTAATTTCAAATTGTAAATGAGTCCCTCCCTGTGAAACCAGTGTCCCTCCACATGTTTATAAAGAGACAAAGACAGTGACGGCCCACACAACACTGTCAAAGTGAGATGGCAGAAGAGAGTATGAAGCGTTGAGGTTAAAGCATAAAGTGTTTAAAGATTTTACCGCCCTCTCTTTGTGCCTCTGTTTTTCTTCTACTTTTTTAAGTTGTATTTTTGCCTTTATTCAGATCGTACAACCTCTCTGTTTTTCAGTGGTGACGGCTACAGTAGCATTAGCTAAATTACTGTGACCTATATGATGAATTTGTTCAGCAAATGTTGCTATTGCTAGTTAGCTTACTGCCAGCTTTGCTGTGCAGCATATCACAACAATGCTATCGTGGGCTAATGGTTGTAGCTGAACTGTTTTTATTGGCTCTTGTGTTCACAGAGGAACTTTATTCAGTTGTGCTTCCTGTTGTGTGTTTAGTGGAAACTTTCACTGGGCTCTGCGACACTTTGCTGAGAACAAGAAGGGAGGGGGAGGGGGAGGTGTGGCCGACAAGGACTTTGTTTTGGTCTGAGATGCTGCTGGACTAGAGGGACATATAGTGGCTGTGAATATCATGTATTATTAATACTTTAAACACTGTAAATTCAGATCTTATTAAACAGCAGAATAGTGCTGACTCAGTTCAGTTAAACTCACCGTCAAGTCGCAGACTTTCAATGATGCTCCTGGTCAGTCTGCATGCTTGAAGAGCTTCCACTGTAAAGGACAGAAATATACAGATTTATTTATTCATTACCATTGATGAAAAATGGGTAGAAATGTATTTAATTCAAAATTGTAAATGATGTTGATCATTAGAATATTAGTAACCTTTATTTATTATTTTATGCAAAAAAATAATTTAACCTGAACACAGCTTAAACACATTTTTAGTTTAGATTTAATCCTGAAGAAAAGATTCAAATTAGATTCATGAGAGACAAAATCACAGTTTCTTTAATTTGGACTTGGAGCAATAATCACCTGCCTTCCATCTTTAAATGAAATTAAATGTAAATTTATGAAACATTATGCAATACATATTTCAGTGAATGAATTGGTGCTTTAGAAGTTGATGAAATGCTTCAGTTAAAACACTGTAAATTCAGATCTTATGAAACAGCAGAAAGTTCTGATTCAGTTTAGTTAAACTCACCGTCAGGTCGCGGACTTTCAACGCTGCTCCTGGGCAGTCTCCATGTTCGAAGAGCTTCCACTGTAAAGGACAGAAATATACAGATGCAATACATATTTCAGTAAATGAATTGGAGCTTTAATAAGTTGGTGAAATGCTTCAGTTTAAACACTGTAAATTCAGATCTTATTAAACAGCAGAGAGTTCTGACTCAGTTCAGTTAAACTCACCGTCATAAGGCACTGATCCATAACTGCTGCTGATGAGCCCTTTGGGGCCTTTTTGATCAGCTTCCACTGTAAAGGACAGAAATATATAGATTCATTCAGTCATTACCACTGACGATAATCGACACAAATGTATTTTATTCAGAATCTATTCATTGGTGTTTATTCATTGGTAATTAGTCAATCAAATCCTACATTTCAAACACTGTAAATTCAGATCTTATCAAACAGCAGAAAGTTCTGACTCAGTTCAGTTAAACTCACTGTTACATGACTCATATTTAGAGCTGCTTTTGGATGCTTGTAGACCAGCTTTCACTGTAAAGGACAGAAATACACACATTTATTCAATCATTACCACTGATGAAAAATGGGCACAAATGTATCTAATTCAAAATTGTAAATGATGCTGATCATTATAAAATTAAAAATACCTTTTTTATTTCATGCAAAAAATAATTATTCTGAATGCAGTTTGGCTTAGATTTAATCATAAAGAATTAATCTTAGATTTTATTAGGTTATTTTTGAGTAAATCACAGTTTCTTTAACTTGGACTTGGAGCCCTCAACCCTCTGTTTTCATCATGCTTTACATATTTCAGTCAAAATAATGTGCCGGGGCCATTTCCAAGATGGCTGCTGAATGGTGAAACTTGCCTATTAGGATTGGATATTTCTCTATGAACTCACCATTACACAGTTTTCTGATCAGCAACTGGAACTTCTTCCCCATTTTCAGCTGGTTTATCAAATCTTTGTAATGATCCTCACTGCTTTGTTCCTTGTTGTAATCTGTAAAACACCAGAGTTACTTCATGCTCATAAAATGAATACAGAGCTGTTTATTCCAACAACAATAATGGGCCAAGATGAATCAAAATGTCTCTAAAACCATTTTAATCAAGATGAAATATTGTCAGTATCACTTCCTTTTGCTGTTATTTACACTGTTATTCTCATCCACATGACACTCACTTAAAGTTGGGTCAATATTTAGAACCATAACTATTTCTAAAACTCTAACATGCTGCCTGAACAGTGTGATGTGCATGATGGGAAATCACTGTGTTCTGTGGATCATCCAGACTAACAGGGAGACAACATTTTTAAAACCACTTTAAAATGTTTTTAAATGTACAATTTCAATCAAAAGTGACCATTAAAACAAGATCTGAATATTAAAAGCTTCAGGATTTGTGTCTGATAATCATCATGATGTTTGATGATGGAAGAAAACTGGGTTTAATATATTTGTTTGACTCAGTTTTGTTTTTTAACTTTAAACTCAGTTTGTTTCAATAAGTATCAGCTGAAAATCTTGTTCAACTTGATCTAAAGCATTTGTTTGACTTGTGATGTCATCACAGCATCGCCTCATATGTGGTCAGTAAGGAATTACATTTAGTCTGTTACTTCAATTTTACTACTTAAATGTACTTGTTGGAGTTTTTGCAGCACATACTTTTAATGCAGTAGAAAACTCATGACTTTGTCTTTGCATTTGGATACTTTAAATACATGCACATCAGCTAGCATCAGACCTGCTAGCTGTCAGCCTGCATCCAAGCTGGCTAACTCTAGGCCTGTCAGCCACTGGCCATTTTCTCCACAGGCCAAACTGATATATGAATAATATAAACATAAAAGTAAAATTACTTTAATTTTACTTCAGATTTAAATTTACACTCCCAGTGAAGATACTGAAGTCTTTCTATATAAAAACATTAAACCACATTTCTCAGTTAACTAAGCACACTCAATAACCTGTCCTATATTGTAAACAAAACACAAAGAGGAAGTACAGACCAAAACACGAGCTTTCTTTGCATTTCACAGCGTAGCACTTAGTCATATTTTTGAGAGATAGTAAATGTGGGTTGTATTTTATGTTGGATGGTTTTTGCCTTCACATTTCTTTAAGTTTAAATTTACCTTTAAAAAAATTCCCCCCACAGTGACGAGCCTCTGTAACTGAAAGATGGCGGCCATAAACGTAAACAAGAAACCAAAGGCACGACTTAGCAAACTCAAAAAAACAAAAGGAAACGAAAAAACTCATCTCGTCCAGAATAGTCTCTGAAATTATAAAATATATAAAAGGAGCAGTTAATTATCTTTTACTATCTTTTACATGAACCAGCGGATACTTCAGTGAGTCGAATACAGATCCCTCATGAAACACGCAGCCAGAAAATATTTATTAATTAATTTCCAACTATTAAAGTGAATCTGTAGCTTTCTGCAGTTATATTATTAACTCTATTAACATATCCACGATACGAACACAATACATTCACTCACTTTAACTACGTATTTGACCTGCTTTTGTTGAGTTCACTCACCAGATAAAAGCTGCGTCACAACCAGAGGAGTTCAAAAGTGAAAGTAAAAACTGTTTGACATCCTGTTTATTGTCTCTGTGTTGAACATTAGAACTAAAGGATCCTTTACTC